CCCCCCCCCCTCCCCCTCCTCTCACTATCAAAAAAAAACGATTACTAAAAAATGAATTTTTAATGGCGGAAAAAATCTGAGTGAAAATACTGGAGGCTATATAATCGGATCTGCATGGAAGTAGTCGCAACGATGATTGAAATTGCTCGAAATTACTTAATGCAGTGCTCGCAGTTACGTGAAAGACAGTTTGCACCGTAAAATATCATCTCACACATGAGGCGACTGAGTACAATCCATCCGGTCTATTATCTCAGGCAGAACCAAGAATTACGGGAAGCGTTTTTTTACATTTGCCTAGATTTACTCACGACGATGCTTTTCGAAATCTCTGTGGTAGTATTCTTAGTGGTGATGCTCTGAGTTATGTAGTGGTACAAGATGGTGTCTATACTTTCGCAAAAACACTTCTGGCCGAGGTCATAATGCCCAAACTATCAGTATGAAACTGTTAAAATCCATGAGATTTTAAGATCTTCCTCGTTTTCACGATTTTTTTCATTTTTTCACTTTCATCATTTTTCATCTTCACGATTTTTCATTTTCATGATTTTTTCATCTTCACGACTTTTCATTTTCACGATTTTTTCATTTTCATGAAGTCCAGTTTTCATGATTTCCGGGAGAAGAAACGATGAGAAGTCGATTCGCCTCAATCTTCCTCATCTTTCCGTCCCAGATTTGTAAAAATTACAGATGCATTATTCAAGAACAGCACACGGCAATACTAGGCCATAGCACGAGGCTGCTGAAGACATCATCAACAGAACTAATCACAAAATGAGCAGTGGAACGGAACATACCCAAACTGACGTGATGGCAACAGATTGGACGTCCATTTTTCCAAATCCTTCAATGCGATATCAAAACGTGGACTGATCACGGAGCACTTATTGATACGGCCCGTTAAATTTACAACGATTTTTCCGGCTCTGTGATCATCGATCACCTCAAACTCGCCAATGTAACCAGCCTTCACCATCACTGTCAGGAAACGTATAATCACCTAAAAATACCCGAAAAAGATTTAGGACACTTTCAAACACATACTGCACACAGATATAACCAGGCGAACAAAGAGATAAATGATGCTTTTGTCGCGGAAATCGAAAAAAAAAAGAAAAATTCGCATATACTACAACATATCCAGCCTCAATCCTCACTATCCCTCCTTCCCTCCTGTGAGCTAAAATTCCTTCAAAGAAGCGATGAGCCAGCAAGGTGACCACTAGGCAAGGGGACAACAACATTGCTTTGGGCAAATAAAAAAGTTGCCAGTTTCTTAAATGGAACAAGAGACCAGAAGGACTGGGTACTCAGGCATCATTGTGTAAGGTGATATTTTACGGTGCAAACTGTCTTTCATCGTTTAGATGCAGTAGTAGTAAGGTGATATTTTACGATACAGTCTCTGTGTGTGTATGTTTCATCCCTTAGCTGTAAACACAGACCGAACTATGCATGCGGTTAAGAATGGGAATCGTCAGCAGAGCCTCCGACCCGCCATGTATTGAACGGACATGTAACTAATTTGCAAGACGGATATGTGAAAGAAAAAGAGAAGGAAAATACAGTAGTAAGAGTGATGGAGCAGAAGGAAGGGGAGGAAACTAACATATGATATGGATAGTAATTGTATGTAGTTATGAGGAGGCAATTTTCATGAGAATAACCTACTAACTAGGTGCTTAATTCCTGCATCATTGGGGTAGATGAATTTGCTCAGTACTGATCGCTTGCTGTCCCAGTCCACAGAAGCGTGAAAAGGAAATGTGATACTACAGCAACAGTATTCTTCCACAAAAAAGAAAAGAAACCAATTTGTGGAGCGAGAAAAATACCTCTCAACGCTTATTTTCTTGCTTTTTTCTTTACAGGGCGAAGAAAAATAAAAATCCAAAAAAAAAAAAAATGCTCGCGAAACAAATACCTTCGAACATGGTCGTATCAGAACTTGACGCTTTCCACGTTTCTCGGCATTATTTATCGTTTT